CCTCCCTTCCTCCCTTCCTCCCTTCCTCCCTTCCTCCCTTCCTCCCTTCCTCCCTTCCTCCCTTTCTCCCTTCCTTCCTTCCTTCCTTCCTGTCCTCACTAGTTTGCGCCTTCCCACTCTAATTGTCAGTGTGCGCCGTCTACTCTCTGTCCACAAGTAGAGATGTCACCTGAAGCATCTTCGAAACCCTATGACACTATGAGCCAGATTGAACCAGGACAAGCACAACACCTCTACCTCCAAAACGCTCCAAAAACCAACGCCATCTACAAAGACCGTGAAAAATTGTGTCTTTTTCCCCGATCGGACGCTCACGGACACCGATTCCGTTCCGTAAGGAAAAAAATGCATCCATGTACGGGGCTAGCTTTGGACAGAATAGATGGCGCCGCCCCCCCCCAAAGTGCACGTTTCTGCGCCATGTATTTGCCAACTAGAGTAATGCCCTTGTTGATGGTGGCAATGCCCTTGCTACTAGTAGTGATGCCCTTGTTACTAGTAGTGATGCCCTTGTTACTAGCAGCTTCTTGCTACTTGTAGTAATGCCCTTGTTACTAGTGGCAATGCCCTTGTTACTAGTAGTGATGCCATTGTTACTAGTATCTTCTTGCTACTTGTAGTAATGCCCTTGTTACTAGTGGCAATGCCCTTGTTACTAGTAGCGAAGTCCTTGTTACTAGTAGCTTCTTGGTACTTGTAGTAATGCCTTTGCTACTAGTGGCAATGCCCTTGTTACTAGTAGTGATGCCCTTGTTACTAGTAGCTTCTTGCTATTTGTAGTAATGCCCTTGTTACTAGTGGCAATGCCCTTGTTACTAGTAGTGATGCCCTTGTTACTAGCAGCTTCTTGCTACTTGTAGTAATGCCCTTGTTACTAGTGGCAATGCCCTTGTTACTAGTAGTGATGCCCTTGTTACTAGTAGCTTCTTGCTACTTGTAGTATTGCCCTTGTTACTAGTGGCAATGCCATTGTTACTAGTAGTGATGCCCTTGTTACTAGTAGCTTCTTGCTACTTGTAGTAATGCCCTTGTTACTAGTGGCAATGCCCTTGTTACTAGAAGTGATGCCCTTGTTACTAGTAGCTTCTTGCTACTTGTAGTAATGCCCTTGTTACTAGTGGCAATGCCCTTGTTACTAGTAGTGATGCCCTTGTTACTAGTAGCTTCTAGCTACTAGTAGCAATGCCCTTGTTACTAGTGGCAATGCCCTTGTTACTAGTAGTGATGCCCTTGTTACTAGTAGCTTCTAGCTACTATCTACTGTAGTAGAAATGCCCTTGCTACTAGTAGTGATGCCCTAGCTACTAGTAGCTTCTAGCTACTAGTAGCAATGCCCTTGTTACTAGTAGTGATGCCCTTGTTACTAGTAGTAGTAATGCCCTTGTTACTAGTAGCGATGCCCTTGCTACTTGTGCGCATACTAGTAGCTTCTAGCTACTAGTAGTAATGCCCTCGATACTCGTAGTGATGCTCTTGTTATTAGTAGCTTCTAGCCACTAGTAGAAATGCCCGTGTTACTAGTAGCTTCTAGCTACTAGTAGTAATGCAATTGTTTTTAGTAGCGATGCCCTTGTTACTAGTACCTTCTAGCCACTAGTAGAAATGCCCTTGTTACTAATAGCTTCTAGCTACTAGCAGTAATGCCTTTGTTACTAGTAGTGATGCCCTTTTTACTAGAGCTTCTAGCCACTAGTAGAAATGCTCTTGTTACTACTAGCGTCCTCGCTCGTTACTAGAATGAAAAGAAAGAAGTAGACCTGGGCCTCTTTGATAAGGCCCCCTAGAAAGAGGGGCCGCATGAAAGAAGGCCAAGTTCCTTATTTGATGTCTTTCTTTTTCTCTTTTGAGGGTAGAGGGGTAGAAATAGACGCCTAAGTAGGGTAGGTTTGCTAACATGTTCGCCGTCAGGTGGCTTTGACCGCTTGACCTTTGCATGACCCAAACAGTTTGAGTAGGAATATGAAGGCCCACCTGCCACTTGATTCGTGCAAGGCCAAAGTCTGACACCTTGGCCGAGTAGTGCAAAGAACTTTCTTCATTTTCTTCATAAACAGTGATGCAAAGGTGTAGATGCTACTCCGATTTGATGTTAGACTCCTGCCTTGGTATATGGTGTATCCAACGTAGTCTTCACAGGATTTGTCAAGAGGAGATTCAGGGATTTCAAATCCTTGGCAAAGCCCGGAAAGGACGAAAAGAGGCTGCTAGGAGCAAGAACGCTACTAGGGGCTCCTGGCCATACTACTAGGAACAATGTTCGCTACTAGGAACAAAGGGCATCGCCGTCGCTACTAGGAGCAAGAATGCTGCTAGGAAGGAGGCCATCGCTACTAAGGATGGAAAAGACGAGCTCTCTGAAAAAAGCAGGGTCTGAGCATCGCACTCTGTGGATCACCTGTGGATTGAACCTGAGAAGAAAAGAATCGGATCAAAACACCTTTTTTCAAGAAAACTGAAGTAAGTTACTAAAGTGTCCCAAAAAGGAAAGCTCTGGCTCTCATGTCTTGTCGCTTTCGTAACGATTTCGCACCTTATCTGTCGATTCAGGTTGGCATCGCTTCGATCGTGTCACAAGGAGTCACAGAGTTCCAAACTCATGGAGGTACTGCATGGCTTTTGCGACGTCCAAAAGGATTCGCAACTTCTGTGGCCTTGGAAGTGAACGAAAAGAACGAAAGGACGCTACGAACGGGGCTCCTGGCCTTACTACTAGGAACAAGGACGCTACGAACAGGGCTTTGGAACGAAAAGAAGAAAGCAAGCAGCTTGCTCCAAGACACGGAGCTTCGAACTCTTCGAGGTTAGCAAGTTGCATCTTGTCTCTCAAACCGAAAAAAGGAAACTCAGAGAAAGGCACGAAGAGGTCAAACTCTATCTCTAGCAGTATCAATCTGGAGCTCTGAGGTCGAAACCATGCCAGCAGCATCCTCAAGTTGAAGAAACTGGAAATGATTCGGTGGAGCTTGGTACTGGTGACGGAAAAGACTGGGACAGCGTAGCGGGGCTGCAGAAAATAAGCTAGTGGAATGCACAGGGGCAAAGAGCGTGCATAAACAAACGGTCCATGCTCTTTATGTACGGATTGTAATGATCGTGATGTAGTTTTCGCGGGAGTAAAGGTGCCAGACAAGAGAATGTGGATACCTTTTGGCAAAATGCAGTAAATGTTCAATGTGAAGAACTGGCATCAACCAGACCCTGTAGAAGTGAAAAACGAGTCATCTGAACTTCACCCAGCAAAAGGGCCCCACTACTTTGAGAGTGGACTGGTTTGTTTGTGAGGTGTTTAGCAGGACTCATGTCCTAAAGTCACACAGTGTAGTATCGCCGTGTGACATAGAGTAGTGAGCCCAAGGACACTGTGACCCAAAATAGTATGATCTGCCGAACAGTGAACTACAGTTTACAGTAGTACAGCCCGACTGAAATTAGTTGGAATTAGAGTTGTCTGGCCACAAGTTGCCATCTAGAGAGTGGACCCGCGGCCCTCGAGTATTTGTCAACTTGGCAACTGCTTCGACCATTTGACTACCACGCTCGACTTCTGTTGTGTTGTGTATTGGTTTGCTGCGTTCGCCGTTTCCCTCTCTTAGAGCATGACTCCTGGTTGTGCAGCAAGGAGAAGACGCAGCCTCCTGCACAATACCTGCAGGCCAAACCTTCGACCTCCCATGGCACTGCTGATGGCGCTCATGCTGTACGCACATGACCGTACGGGCAACTCAGTCCACTAAGGCACTGGCTCTGTGATGATGCGAAATGGCCTCAGAAAAGGTACTGGCTCACTAAGGTCCAAAAGCACAAATGAGCGATGGCCTCCACCTAATAGCGTCCTTGCTACTAGTAGCTTCCTTGTTCCTAGTAGTACGGCCAGGAGCCCCTAGTAGCGTTCTTGCTCCTAGTAGCGATGCCAGGAGCCCCTAATAGCGTCCTTGCTACGTTTTGAAGAAACGCAAACTACTTTTGCACACTGCCACAGCACAAAGTTGCACTTCAAAGAAGTGGCCCTCTCAAATTCCAGAACACTTTGTGTGAAAAAAGAAAGTTTGTGGAAAATGGTCTAGCCGCTGGCAGTTTGCATGGTCTATGGTGCAGTAGGGGGGAACGGGCTCGATGTACAGTACTACAGTTGTTTGAAAGCATGAACAATGAACCATAAGTTTTGCCATGATCATTGCGCGCTCACAAACCACACCTGCCTCTGGATGGATGAAATACCCAGAAACCGCACCAAATTTTCATGACAAGTCCTGAAAGAGGAGCAATGGCAAGGATATGTCTAAACAACCAAAGAAATGCCAAACCATTGAATAAGAAAACCCTATGCATTCTGTTCCGGTTCTCTCCTCATCAGGACTGCCACCTCACGCTCGAATGCGCGTAAGTCCTCACGAAATACACTTGCTACAAACTTCTATGTTCCCAAACATACCCTTTAGCAAACATCTAAAACCTGGCCCGCTTTGTCTCACCCCTTTTACCGCCCGAAGTTGCAACCAACAAATGCGTTTTTACAGCATCCTTGCTAGCAATAACTTGTGCCCATTGCAACCTAGTTCCTTGCAAGCGCCCTGGTTAATGAGAAGAAAGTAGTGGAGCACAAAGCCTAAAACCTTTAAAGAGCCCCAGAAGAAGACCTGACTGAAGGCACTTGCATCCTCGCTCACAAGCGCGAGGAAGACTTCGGAAAACAGTACGTACCTACGGATTGAGTCATCTCCCATGCCTGAGTGAAAAAAGATCATGAGTAAAGCAGGCATTAGGGCCATTAGGGTCAAATCATCTTCCAAGTTCAAGTTGTTCACACACGGAAAAAAGACTTCCACACTCAAAGAGTCTCAACATGGATCAAAAAAGTGTTTCTGATTGTTCCTAGTAGCGTGGCACTTGTTCCTAGTAGCGATGCACTTGTTCCTACTTGCTTCTTGTTACTACTGCCATACTTTTTGTTCCTAGTAGCGTGGCACTTGTTACTACTAGTAAGGCACCTGTTACTACTAGCGTGGCACTTGTTCCTAGTAGCCATGGTTGTGAACGATGTTTCGGAAACTATGTTTCCAAAGCTAGGGACGTTTAGGAAACTACACATGTTTCTGAAGCTATGTGTCGGGAACTACCTTGTCTTGGAAACTGTCTTGCATATTCGGAAACTACAAGTGCCTAAGCGAAGTATCACAAAGTTACATAATGTTGCACCACCATGTTAGGCCCCAATCCGCCCCACCACCCCGTCCAAGCCCGCTAGTAGGTTGGAGCCCATCGCTACTAGGTTGGAGGCCATCGCTCTCGCAGTTGATCCTTCTCAGACTTGTCCACGTCATTGATCTGCTTTACTGCCACCTTTGGGCCAACGTGGCACTGTTTCAGTCTTTCAAAGAAACAAAGCGGCAATTCGTGCCTGGTAATGCCCATCAAGAACAGCCTATGCACATACTTTTCTTGTAGAGAACGTCTGCCGCATACTTGTTTCTGAATCGAAGAAGTGATTTCCAAAAGTGTGGAGAAGCCTGGTACACGTGAGCGGTCACCTTAGGCAAGCACTGACCTAGCTGCCACAGTGAAGCAGTCATGTCCGATGATTCCACGATTGACAATGTCCTAGTGGTGCAATTGACACTATTGAAGAGAAAAGAATGTGTGAAGGCAAGGAGGCTACTAGCGGCTCCTGGCCTTACTACTAGGAGCAAGGACACTACTAGGAGCAAGAATGTGTGAAGGCGTGCATCTCAGCTTCCAACACCTTGCCCCACTGAGCGCTCAAGCAGAATCCGATCGAATGCAATCTTGCGTAAAGATCTGACTGAAGAATACTGTGTGATTTGTTCAAAAGGGACGTGTTTTTCCAAGTCTAGAGTCGAGATGCGTGTGACACCGCGAACAGCCAATGTACAGTATACATTTGTCCGCATACGCCTGCATACGTGCATGACAAGTACCTCAAGAACGTTGAAAAACATTATACCGGCATAGACCCCAAATAGCACTTCAAGAAAAGTTGGACACCATGGCAAGAGCGGGAGACAAGCTTGGGAGACATCCCACTCAAAGCGGGAACAGGATGGAAAAGGTAAACAAGACCTAAATCATCTTATAACAGCATCCGCGTCAAACGCAAGCAAGAAAATGACAAGGCGGCAGCGGCAGCCAAGAGCGAAGTCATGAAGGGAGACAAGCTTGGGAGACAAGCCGGCAGCGGCAGCCAAAAGCGAAATCATGAAGGGAGACAAGCTTGGGAAACAAGGCGGCAGCGGCAGCCAATTTCCGCAATCCGGAACCCATCCATTGAGAAGTAAGAACCCCTATAGCTTCCAGCTATCTGGGGAACAAAGGTGAACTTCCCATCACAAATTGAGATGTCTGTTCAGTTTCAAGTTGTCGCAGCAAAGAGTCAGATAAAGTTTTTTAAACTTCAAATTCGCTAAGACTTGGGATTAGGTTGGAGGCCATCCCTATTAGGTTAGAGGCCATCGCTACTAGGTTGGAGGCCATTCCTATTAGGTTGGAAACCATAGGCCCTTCCTATTAGGTTGGATGCCATCGCTACTAGGTTGAAAGCCCTTCCTATTAGGTTGGAGGCCATCGCTACTGGGTTTGAGGCCAGCACTATTAGACTTGGCGTGAAGGAAGCACGAGGCTTCCATTGTCACGAACTTGGCTCCAAGTTGGTTTCGCCGGGTGTATTGACGAGGACATAGGACAAAGACCGTTTAACTTGTTGATGCATTCAAAAGCATAGAGCTCTTTGCGAGGTGTGGTGATGCCAAAGGCATTGCCTAGAAACAGATGCACTTCAATGCCATGTGTAGAAACGTAAGAAAGTGCAGTCGCGAAGAGCACAGTTGCACAGGACCTGATAGGATTGAGTAAGCAGTGAAGGCACAAAGCCATACCCAAGACGACCCACGAGCACCCTGCAAGAAGTGGTCAGCTAAGCCTTACTGAGCCAACCTACTAGCGATGGCCTCCACCCTAAAAGCGAAGGCCAACAACCTACAAAGTACTAAAGATTAGCTGCGAGTTTCTCTGGTAGTTTGTTACTACTAGGAGCAAGGACGCTACTAGGGGCTCCTGGCCTTACTACTAGGGACTAGTGCTTCCAGCCCAGTCTCCTCTGTGATGGTGGGAGCACTCCGGGTCTCTGGCTCTGCGCTATCCCTTTTCAGGATGGAGGCCATTGCTAGTAGGTTCGAGTTTACTGCAGGAACCATGAGCGATTCGAGTCTCTTTGCTCAAGCTGCGTCCATCCGTTCTTACATCAACGCCCTTTGTGCCTTGCGCCGCCCAACGAAGAGTTCCTTTGCGTTGAGATAAAGTTGCCACTTTGTCCATTGCTTGAGGTTGGAAGCCATCGCTATTAGGTTGGCCTCCTATTAGGTTGGAGGCCATCGCTACTAGGTTGGAGGCCAGTTGCCACTTTGTACACTGGCTTTCGCCATGTTGTCGGCGCAGGTTGAGCACGCCCACAGCGCAGCTCTGTGCGTGTTGTCGATTTGCCACATGAACATGTGAGAAAAGAACTGAACTAAAACACGAAAGACTCACCTCGGTCGGAACATGTTTTTTGCATGTAAAGAACAAGGACGCTACTAGGGGCTTCTGGCCTTACTACTAGGAGCAAGAAGCTACTAGGGGTACCTGGCATCGCTACTAGGAACAAGGATGCTACTAGAACAAAAAACAAATAATAAACCTAAAGACACACCATGTTCAGTGTTGAAAGGTAAGAAATCTGATTGCCGTCAATGTTTTGCTGGTTTGGCAAACTTGAGGGATGCCTACTGTGGCCCTCTCAGGATTTCAGTCCAATACCCAAGTTGTGGACTCAACTTTTCAGGACTTCCCGTTCCAAATTACTACGATCTCCTTCGTTCTCTATGGCGAACAAAGTGAGAAACAACATGTTTTGCACGTAAACTGAAGTTTAACGAAATCAATGTGTTCAGCCTCCCAAGATGCGCATTCTGCATGCACAACTCCACAAGGAAGGGCTGTGACCATGGACCTGGCATGACACCCGCTGACATGCAATGTCCACTCTCCCAAATTTAACTGCTCAACGCAGACTGAGTTGGCAGCTCAGATCCAATTTTGCCCACATTGCATGGATGTGAAATGCAAAATTGTGGGCAAAGGATACTTTGAACTGGCCACGTGTATGGAAAACACTTGTCCAATCCAGTGGGCATACGCCACATACCTCGTCTACGCATGTCTCTTTAGAATACGGATGAAAAGGTAAAAAATTGACATTCTGAACGCAAAACCTGAGTACATGTTTACAATGCATGTGTTATATTACTACACATTTGGTGCCGTGCTTGCTTTCTCCAAAGCAGTCCAGAGTGCATGCTAAACAGCTGCAGGTCACACAAAATGGGGTCGTACTGCATGATTTGGATCTGACCCGTTTCTTTGATTCCAACATATTCTACACATGTGACGTGGGATCTCAACAAGGAGTCCACCAAGTGAAAAGAATCACCCGTCAGTAACACAAATGGAGATCAATGGTGGATGGGAAGATAAGAAAAACCTTCCAAACGAGCAACAATTGAAAGTCCAACAGCCCACCAGATGAGGGAAAACGCTGGGTAGAAACTTCGATGAATGAAACGGAAAAACACCATAAACGCAGAATCAATTCGCAAAAACAAATGAAACTGCAGAGGCTGCCCGGCGAACCTTTTTCGCAAACTTCAACAAAAACGGCGATGACCGCTTAAAGGTTGGTACACTTATCGATTTCCTTTGTTGCTAGTAGTTTCTTGTTCCTAATAGCCTCCAACCTACTTGCGTCCTTGCTTTGTTGCGTTTTGTTCTGCACATTCCACCAACAACAGTGCCACACCGAGGATCCGTGTGGCTGCTGAGCTCATCCGTTTCTCAGGTGGACACCTCATCGTAATGTCGCTGCCCTTAACCCGGTCGCTGGCACGCTTAGAGGCGCACATTCACGGAGCAAAAGAAAGTCGCAATTTGATACATGGAATGAAACCGTCCAATGCTCACAGTCGGGTCAGAAAGAGCCTCACAAAGCAAAACTGTTTCAAGAAGCAGCATTTATATAGAAAGAAAAGCATTGCCAGCGCACACGTTGCTCACAAACAAACCAGCCTCTATGCAATGAGGTAACCATAGCAGTCCAACCTGGAATGATTGGTTGACCCCCGCACTTCAACACGCGTTTGTAACAAGTATATTCAGAGTATTAACATGTATATACTGAGGGGAGGACTTGGAGACACCGCGTTTAATGGAAGCTTCTTCGTCTTCTTTGCTCCAGTTGCCGTCCTGTGGAGAAGGCATTCAAACTAAAAAAGAGCTGACTGACTAAACACGAACTGGTAGGTCATTGAAGCTACTGCAACTAGCAAAACAAGTTGCTGGCACCACGGCTCCTCCTGTTGGCTAAATATTTCGATTTGGAAGGCGTCGCATTGGACTGTGGCTGCATTTTCGGTCTTGATCGCCTGAAAGCCGAATGACAATACCACCCATACACTTTTGAGTTCAAGAAAACATGTTCTGGCTTTTATCACTGTCTGCTTTGTCTTCTACTCAACATCAACTAAGGCACTATTGGACATGAACGCAAACGATGAACTCACAGCACGTGTTGCAAAGATGGTCGCTCTGCTTAATCTTTGTCATTGTCCATCTCAAAGCTCTTCCAAAACAAAATGAAAAGAAATTCCATTTGAGGTCTGCACCTTCTTCAGATCATCTATGTCACCAACCGCTCCAGTGATTTTGAAGGCATTGCCGATGAACTCGAAGCCGCCATTGTCGTCAACAGCAGAGACATTCAAACTCAACCCTTTCCAACCGTGTGCTACTCGCATTTACTTACCAAAGGGCACAGCAAAGGAACAAACATGCCAAAGGGCATGGCAGAAAATCATACAAAGTCTTTAGTCTAAATCCTCTTTATCAAATTGAGGAATTATTAGAATACATACAGTATTTCATAAATCCTGAGGAATGAACAACCCTGCAATCTTCTCCCTAAAAGTCCTGAACCCTGCCAAGTTCGTAGCATAACAGTGTATTATCTTGGACAGTGGACTTGCCCTTCATCACGCTCTATTTTGGGGCATGGTTTTTGGTCAAAAATAGTTCTTCCTACACCTGACAAAAGGGCACAGCAAAGGAACAAGGGCATGGCAAAAAACATACAAAGGAAAGGAAACGGCAACTTCTGATTGTTTTGGGGGTGGATTCTTGTCTGCAGTTTTTGCTATACCAATCATGTGTTTCATGTGGAACTGTCGTCAGTCCTTCTGGAGTTGCCTCACCCAAACAACTTTGGTGAGTGTGGCAGTAGTGCCTAGCACGGCATCAAATCATTCAGACTGGCTAGCCTACTTTGAAGATTGATGTTCAAGGATTCCATCCAGCACCTCTTTTGAATACAGAATTGAGAAAGAAACACCGATCAATTCTGCATTCTTGATGCAACACCCCTGTCGTATCACAAGACTATCTTGGTGCGCCCAACCTCTGATAGGGAGAGGTGCAGTTGGTCTATCTCCAGTCATGATGTATCGTTTGGTACTTCTGGGTCTCCAACAGCCATATGCATCAGGGATCTTCGACTGCTCTAGAACTTCAGCCATGAGACCGTCTAAGACGTCTACTTCTTCAGCTCCTGCATCAGCTGGTTTTCTTCGCTTCTTCAATAGTTTTTGCATATCCAAGCAATTCAGAAGCGCCCACGTCTGGTCTTCAGACCATCGGTAGAACGTTTCTGGCATCTGCTGTGGTGATATCTTCGTATTATCACCATTGAGACGGGAAACCTCTTCCGCTGCAGTTTCACTCTGCACGATGAAAATGATCTGGTGAAGGTTGTCACATGCAGCCCGGGCAAGCAAGCACTCTCACTCTATCTCCCTGATTGAGAATACCACCATCCAGAACATTGTCAAAAATTACCCTCAGTCTGATCCCCTTCCCTTTCAGAATGGTGAAGAGGGGGCGAACAATTTCTGTAGTGAACTCCACATTGGCAAGAAGCTCTTTAGTTGCCGTTCAAAGTCGTTCTGCAAAAGCACGATTATATCCTTCGTCTCTCTCCCTAACAGTTCAAGCGCTGCCAGTGCTGCGGCAGTTGACTTTCCGGCATCTGGCTCCGCATGCACCGCGTAGACTCCAATCATGCTGGTATTCTGAAGCGTTGCAACCATGAGTTTCTCGAAGGGTGTACCTCTGATTGGCAGAAGAGGCAAGTCTTCCTCTTGCGCAAACGGGATCAGAACATTCTGTCCTGCAGTCACGGCTTTTTCAATCTCTCCTGCTAACTCTGATGCATGTTTCTTCGCATCCTGCGCATCTTCACCTTCAAAAGGTGCTTGTTTTTTCCATTCGCTGGCAAATTTCTGCACTTGTTGACAACTTTTCAACAGCTGAGCTGCAGATGTCAATTTCGATGCCACGGTAGCCCATGCAGCTTGCACAGCTGGATCTTGAGCTGCATCAAAGAAAGCAGAAAACACATTTGGAACACTTCTGCGGGACATGAGACCCCGTGTAGAACATCTAGCCTGTGGTGTTGCAAGAACCAGTGTTCCTGCCCACCGCCAAATAGCTGCCAAAGCAACTGCATGTAGTACTCGTCTTTTTTGGGGTTTCATGCGGAGCACAAATCTACATTTTCGCGGCCATTGGCAACGGGAAGTTGAAGTTGAGGGGGCTGATTTTGGGGTCAGTGTGGCATTGGTTGAAAATCAAACATTGCCATAAATAAATACGCAAATTCTCATGGTCTGAACATGACACCTCGGCTTCTTTTGGACCAATAATTGGTTTCTTGTTTGCTAGGATTTGCGAGGTTAAAACTGCAGTCGCAGGTGTGATCAGAAAACCAGAAAGCTTGTCAAGCGCACAACCCCTTTCAACAAGCACATGCTCCGGCATGCAAAGTTCCAATGTGTAACATTGAAAACGCTGGCTGCAAAACAAGTACAATGAAAACAAGTGTGCGCCAAGTGCAACATGATGCAACAACACTTGTTCTGCCTGACGATGACAACCATCCTTCAAGAGCTTTTCGGAACTGAAAGAAATAGCAGCAGCTACTACACCCTTTGCATCTCACTTCCAAGCCCTTCGGATTTCCTTTCCAAACCTTTAAAGTTTCTTTCCCCACCTGTTGTTGGGTTTCAACATAACTAATGTAGTTCACCCTCTGTCTGACTCAATCCTTGCTTCACATTGTCTTTCCCTGCTGACTTCCATTGGCAGGTGGAACACCAAACAAAAAACTGTATTCCACCAATTGTCATCAGATGTTCGATTTTCCATCTATTTTCCCTCTTGTCATTTAACACTGGAAAAAGGCACAACAGAAACGCGCTTGCGTGCACAAATCCATCTATCAAACTATTTACCACGGTGCTTGATTTATAAACCCCCCTAGAATAATGTCTTTTTTTTCCCTGCACTGATTTATAAAGGCCCCTAGAACAATTTTGTTTTTTTTGGAGGGGTAGTTGTAGTGGAATATTTTTTGGTTATAGTTTACTTGTTCCCTTTTGATTTGCTTTACTCACCCTCTATTCCTTATTAACTTGTCCTAAGCTCTTTAGTTTTGAAGCTTTCCAAAAGTTTCCAAAAGTCAGTGCAGTGCGCACTTTCTTTATAAAATCCCTTATTCAAAAGTATTGAAAAACAAAAAAATTCATTCAAGCAAAGGGGGTAGTCCAGCAAGCAGCTTTCTGACATTATTTAGGGGGGGGCCCTAGAATAATGTCTAGAGATTTGAGGTTTTAAATCTTTATTCCTTTTCTTTGCCTTTTGATTTGCTTTACTCGCCCTCTATTCCTTATTTACTTGTCCTAAGCTCTTTAGTTTTGAAGCTTTCCAAAAGTTTCCAAAGGTCAGCGCGCACTTTCTTTATAAAATCCCTTATTCAAAAGTATTGAAAAACAAAAAAATCATTCAAGCAAAGGGGGTAGTCCAGCAAGCAGCTTTCTGACATTATTTAGGGGGGGGGCCCCTAGAATAATGTCTAGAGATTTGAGGCGTTAAACCGTTATTCCTTTTCTTTGCCTTTTGATTTGCTTTACTCACCCTCTATTCCTTATTGACTGTTCCTAAGCTCTTTAGTTTTGAAGCTTTCCAAAAGTTTCCAAAAGT